ATTCAAATGTATATCAGTTCGCATGTAACTTCTTGTAAAAGTGGTTTCCCTGCAGTGAAGTGATGATGAGCTATGAAAACACATATTTATGAGAAATTCAAGCTACCGTAAAGCCCCACTTCAAGGTTAAATGAAGGTATTGCCCTCCCATTGATAGATTTTTTTTTTTTTTCAGTTTGAAAGCTCACAATACCAACTTATATGTTGTAAGTATAGCAAACTTTAAAATGTAACGTAGCTTATAGGCTATCGTTAGCATCGTACCAAAAGTCATATCCTGCTAATACTATTCAAGGTTGTTTCCACTTCCTTTGATGCAAAAAAATGGTGTTACTAAAGGCCTTGTTTAAAATTTTAAAAAATATTGAGCAGGTTAGTTAGGTCATGACAAACACACGTGTTTTTTTTGTCATGTGTGATATATATACTATACGAATTCAATTTAAAATTATTTGACCCAAATGATTGTTCACTTCGAATTCACTTCGAACCGAAAATTCGCTATTTGCACCAACCTAAAAAAAGTTAGTTTCTCCTCAAGGATCAAACAATGAATGCAATCTCAACAAATTGTACTAAGCAAGGCTGGCAGCTAACTATTTTCGGATCCTCTATTACGTAACTCTACAAATTGCTGGTGTAAGAAAATGCAGCTGCTCCAGGGAAAAATGTTCGTTTCGCTAGTGTCGTGTTGAGAATGCAGCACATAGTATCAGCACAAGCCATGTGCTCAAACTTGCTGAGATAGTGTGCACGCCAGCGGTCACGACTGCCCCTTCAGAATTGAAGTTCACAGTTGCTCCACGAACTATCGCTTTCCCATCTTTTCATGCTTGTCACATCTTGTCATGCTCATTCAAGACGGGCGGCGCATTTCCTTCCTGCTTGAGCATTTGACGGCAGGTTTATCACATGCACTCTTCGAGCGACGAAGATCGGCTGCCAGCTTGATCTGTGCTTGAGCAGCGCTTGTCGCCCCTACTTGCATGTGTTTACCCGCTGGTAGAACTTGTGATGCATGGGGGATGTCAGCAACTTGCGCTTTACACGAAACATGACAGCAATGACAAAAACCAGTTGAGAGTGTTCATATAATTTCTATCTTAATAAAAAATTTTCCGCCCCATCCCCTGACAATGGCATGATGAGTGCATTGTTTATTGCTATTTTCTTCGCAGTTCTCATATTGGCTGTGGTGCTTTAATGACCGAAACATAAATTTATTTTATGGTGTCTTAATTGGGTTTAAAATGAAGGTAGCTTTTATTAGCTAATCTCTAGTCTCCAGTTAATGTGGGATGCATTGCCTTTTTTTTTTCATTTTTAATGTTTCAACATTCTTACATTACCATTGTTTATTCGTCTGGGGCATTGTAGCTATTCAAAGCATCACTTATGTCCTGTTTTCTTTGAGTTAATATGCTTTCAGTTTTGATGTTTCTTGTTTCAGATGCATATATAGAAACTTGTGGTAAGGTACTAAGATACTAAGTTGGTCAAGTTGGTTTACATGTAGTGTCTGTGGACTTCCTGTCTTTAACGAGACATCTTTTGTATTCAATATTGCACTTATAATCCTTTAAAACATGTGGTAAGTCTAGTCCCTTCATCACTGTTGAATGTTCAGTAAACATCATTGGGATTTTTTCATTAACCAGAAAGAAAAATTTTAGTTATCAGTGAGATGGGACTTTAAACAATCTGCTTCAAAACTAACTTGTCAAAAATTATCGCCCCTGTCTCGCTAACTTCAACCGTTTGTAAGCTTCTCGAGCACATTATCCAGAATATATTTCATATTTTCTGGACGAACGTAATATCCTAAACCAACATCAGCATGAATTCAGGAAGGTATTTTCAACAACGGCACAATTAATATCAACAATACACGACTTTGTTACCTCAATTATTAATGGAAAACAAACGGATGCAATTTTTATGGATTTTCAAGAGCTTTTGACAAGGTTTTACACAATAAACTAGTATACAAATAAGGAAAAATTCTCAAAAATGAGCAACTTGTTAAATGGATGTCGGCCTACTTGAAAAACAGAGAACAATTTGTAGTTTTTAATAATCTTTCCTTTCGCAGGGTTTTTGTTCACTCTGGCGTCCCCCAAGAGTCCGTTCTGGGTCGCCTTCTATTTATTTTATATATTAATGTCATAGTAAATGGTATCCCTATAAATATTAGGCTCTACACGGACGATTGCATTATTTACTCTGAAATAGAATCCTCAAAAGACCAAGTATTATTAATCTAGTCATTTAACAAGGTTGTTTTCTGGTGCGAGGCTTGGCAAATGTCAATCAATTTCGAAAGAACGGTGTACATGTCCTTTTCTCATAAGAAAAACAAATTAAATTTTCAATACTTTACAAAAAATACCATTCTTTCAGAGGTTCAATCTTACAAGTATCTTGGGTTGCGGATAACAAAGGATCTTAACTGGACAAAACGCATTGACATAGTAACTTCCAAGGCTAATCATAAACTTCTTTTTACGAAGGACTTTGAAACTCCCCCCTCCATGTGGCCGTGTTCTTGTTTACAAATCGATAGTCCTCCCCATACTTGATTATGCTGCCGTGATCTGGGATCCATTTGCTCAAATTAACATTCATAAAATCGAAAAAATACAAATAAGAGCCGTTTACTTCATATATAACAGTTATGAACAAACCTTAGTAAATGAACTGTTAGTCAGAGCTAACTTAGCTTCACTTTCAGAAAGAAACTGCATATCCCGAATAAAATATTTATATCAAATAATTAGTGGGGTTACAAGATTGATATTGAAAAAATATTTCATTGTCTTCAGGTTAGACCACTCTACAACGCCATGATCGTACAATAACTCCCTTTCGTACCCGCAAGAACTGCTTCAAATATTCAAAAACTGTGCAGGATTGGAATAGTTTAAATAACCATCAAGTCACGACACAATCTTTAACATCCTTTGCCGCTAGTCTGGAAAAACAGATAAATAAATTTACTTGTGTGCTATCTTTGTTTTCTTTTCTTGAGATGAGAGTGATGTGCCATCGGTAATATTTTGTTACGTTTGTTTACCTTATAAAACGCAAGTGATCGTTATTTGTTTCCTTTATGTTACTATATGGCGGCCTACAAAGTTAAATGTGATAGGCTGTTCCATCTGTTTGCCTGGTGTTATGTGCTGATGTTTACGTCTTTTGTACCCACCTGCTAAAACCCATCCAGGGGATTGCAGTGCCAATAAATAAATAAATAACTTTTGCATAGCTCCAAAACACATTGCTTGGGGCCCCCAAACTCTCCTTTTACTGCTCCAAAGCTGCTCCGAAATAGCATTACCTATTTCTGCTCTCTGGGCTGCCCCAAAAGAGTGAAGCCCCTGTCCTCCCCTGGGTTAGCCGAATGTTGAATTCCTAATTCCCGATGTTGAATTCACTGGTTTAATTTAGTTTATCGCTGACTTATTAAGAAAACAACAAACGTATGTATGCTACGTTGAGGGACATTTGTTTTCTGAATAAATTTTCAGATCTTGTTATTTTGCAAAGAGCACTAATAGCAAAATTTTCCGTCAGCCTGTAACTTCTCTCCTGTCCTCTACCCTTCCCTGCCATCGCCACCAATTAATTGTCCATAATTGTCCAATTGTCCAAGTGTCCATAATCTTTTCACTATTAGACTGGCTGGTGACCGATCATTTGTCCATCATCATGTAGTCAGTGAGTTGGATGCGACTTGCAGATCACAGCAGAATCGCTCTTCCAATCACTAGCTTCCATCATGTATGGCCGTTGTGAAATTGCATGTGCAATGAAGTGAATCGGAATGACACTGCAAAGTGCAACCTTGGCTGCACTTGAAACCACATTTACTGGCCACATGGTCATAGTTGGCATCCACACAGTTCTGAAGGCAATGCGCACCGTAGGAGTGAAAAAAAATAACCACTGAATGCCACATCAGGAGGCATTTGTTTGGGATGAAACCATGGTCTCTAGCGACACTTATAGCATCCATGCCACCTGCGCAGCAGGCGTGTGCTAAGTCAAAAGGAAAGTATTTTTTTTTTTTTTAACTGGCACTCAATTATGCACTTTATAGATGGCGGCTACGTAGGTCTGAATGCATGTGGCAAAAATTTTAAAACTTATGGGTGTGCAATTATTTGATATTTCGAATATTTTATTATAGTATTTGCTACTCCATTTGATTCACCCTGGCATTTTGTTTTAACGTCACCTTGATAGCAACCACTTAAGCTTTTCCATATGGTTTACCCCATTACACTTTCATGTTGCAGCAAAGCTGCCTTTTAATCTCTACTACAGTTGCAAACATATTGACTCAAAAAAACGCTGGTTCCAACATGAAGACTATAGATGTGGCAGAGGAGGGTGGGGGCCTAATCAATGCTGCATTGGACCTAAAATTTGGGCACAAAGTCCGGAAAAATTGGTTGCCAAGGACTTTTAGCATCCAAAATTTTAATTCTTGTATGTTGATGTCTACGAAGTAGATGTGGAATCCCAGACTCGAAGGGAGCACACCCTTGTCTGCCACATCAGTTGGGCTGAAGTTTGAAAGCGAGGAGACACGCCATCATTGCCGTTCATGTGTAAAGTGTTGTGAGCAGCACTGTAGTTGCATACATAAATACAATTCCACATCTGCATTGCCTCAATTTGGATAAGATAGCTATGAAACACCAACCCACCAGCGCTCCATCAACCTAGCCCTAAGAAACACTTTCATGTTGCTATCTCATAAGAATATGCCTGAAAATCTTCTCCAACTTTGTTTTTCTGCATTTTCACCTTGATGTATTAAAAAAATAGTCCATAAATATTTAAGAAATATTCCATTTGATTCACACTTGCACTTCAATATTCGAATTCACTTCGCTCCCAAATTTTGCTATTTTCACAGCTCAGTAAAAAAAACTATCCACTTTATATCAAGTGGTAGCATTTATAAAAAATTCATTTAAGCATGCTTTTTGCAGGTACCGTGGCTTCCCCAAAGCCCCAAGCACACTCTTGGCATCAGAGAGCCAACGTCCTTATCCATGCAACTTTGTCGGCACCGTCTACCCAGGATCGTCACGTGAGGAGCTTTTGCGTGTCCTGGGTGACCGCGGTGCCCCCTGCTACTTGAGCACCCGCAACGAGTGAGCACTTCTCATTCTTCCACAAAAAGGAGGCTACTGCTTTGTGCTTTCTTTTTACTTAACGGCACCTTGACAGCTCCTCACTGTGTTTTAAGTGGAAATGTGCAAAATATTCAATACTTTAATGTAATAGTTTTGTGTTGGCTTCGATCGAGAGACACTTTCATTAGTATTTGCAGTCTCTGAATGCCCTAGAGCTTCATAGTGCATTCAATACATGCTTTTTCATTTTTTATTGTTTGTTTTACCAACCTGCTAGAATGAAACATTACTTGAACATATTTTAACTCGGCGCACGATTACAAGGACACAAGAAAAGAAGGAACAAACCGGAGCGCTGACTCGTTACTAAATATTTATTGAAAAATGTCAACTAAAAAGTACTCTCACCAACTGGCTCAGCTTTCAGTCTTCTACGGAACGAAACAATTGCTCTAAAAAGAAAGTTATGCCATGCTCTTTGGCATATGCACATGGCCTATTCCAAAGAATTTCATATGCCATATGGCCTCAGCACGAGAATCGATAACTGGGCTAGTTGGTTGAAATGCATGGCGTAGCTGATCTAAGCACGCACAGATGTGGACACAAAAGGGGGGACAACTGGACTAGCGCTTTGTCTTGTTCTCTTTCCTTTTTTGTGTGTTTGTGTGCACTTTGTTTGAAGTTTACTTCACCAAAGAGTTACACGTTTATATATATATTTTTTTAAGTCATAGCAGAGATGCAATGTGTGGTGTGGAATGGGGGAAAAAAGCTGGGATACAAACGCAGCTTGACTAGGCCCCACATGGCTTCAGCATTCTAGTCCTATTTATTTCGGCACTATTGCCACGGTTGCGTCAAAACGCACTTCTTGCTCCTTTCATGTTGATCCAGGTGCTGCTTTTAGACTGATAAAATGTGCCATGCATAGTTCCATGTTTGCACGCATTCCATTGTTGTGGATTGACAATCTTAACTGTGCATCAGTTTGGCAGCTATAAACGAAAGTGTCCTTTACCGTATTTACTTGCGTAATGAACGCACTTTTTTTCTGGAAAAATCTGAGCAAAGTGGAAGTGCGTTTATTACGCGAGGTAAATTTTATGAAAACTTTTTCAGGAGGAGCAAAAAATAAGGTAATGCAAAAAAAGTTAGGTCACTTAGTCTTTGGCAATTGACATATGCATATGCTGTTTGGAAACAGCTTCACTGCATTTTAATTATCTTCGTTGGTTGATGGTGCTATTTTTTGCAAGCTGTCCCCGGGCCGCCCGCGCACGCCATAAACCCGTTTTGCGGCTATCTTTTCTCGCAATCGTTTAACTGCAACAGTGGTATCTGCTGTGATCTCGAGGGGCACCCAAAATCGTGCGCTACAACGCACTCTACCTATGTCGCGGCAACCTTGCACGACGACCGTAATGACGCTGTTAACATTGTAGCAAGCACGACGAGGTCATGATTGCAAGAAATTAACATTGCAGCAAGCTACCCCCGAAGCATCAAAACAAACCGTCGATAACAAGATTAAAGTAGCACTGACATCAAATTTCAAGATCGAGATGTGCCCATCATTTGATCGCTTGGTATGCATAGGTCTTCTTGGCAAAATTTGAATGGCATCTGTGGCAAGAAAGTTATTCGCGTGAAAGGTAATTCGATGTCAAACAGCGTAGAAAAGCTGAGGAGAAAAAATAGAAAATAGACTGCCCTGTGACATCAACACTAGTGCCACATGTTTGGTGTGATACATTCCACAAATACCATCCTGAGTGACAATACGCTAGTAACAATGACGTCGACGATCTAAGTGTGTTTGGAGCCGACTGCCGGCCATCCTCTCACTAATGTTTCTCCTTGCTGTGTTGAAGTGTGTGTGCGATTCATCGTGTCGCATCGACTGATTTGTCATGTGCTCCACAGCGTGAGTACAATCATTCAGAGTGACAATAAGTGCCAGAGTGTCAGGGAACTGCTGCTCAGTGAGAACCTGCACGTCGAAGCGTGGAAAAAGCGGAAATTGCGTGGCATTTCATGCCTTTCCAAGTCACAAACCTTAACGCAGCCAGTGGGTTAACTTCGTACACGCCGATGAACAGAGGGACTAGGACGCCTAAGAAGAACAGCCGCATTCGCTCGCTTCACTTTGGGTCGAGCTGCCCAGGGTAAATCCTGTGTTGGCAAACGAGTTGGTTTTCACTGGCAGTATGAGGCCCCTTCTCGAGGCCGGGGCTGAAGGGAGAGGAAAAGAATGAGTTCGCACTACTTAACCTAGCCGGCGGAAAACACATGAAAGGGCTTTAGTCTACATCATCAGAGACACAGCTGAACTGACTGCACATATGCTCCTAGCAGACAAAATGCTAGTGTGCGTGATGTCACCATTTTTTGTTAAAGCAGCATCAGCTGTGCAGCGGCCTCGACGTGGCCATGAGGTAGCGCTGACAGCACTACAATTTGGCGGGCTTTCGACTCATTTTGAACCACGTTCGATAGCGGATATATTGTAACGGGGAGTATTCAATAAGTTAACGCTGGTTGGGCTAACACTGCACACAGTGTGCAAGGGTGCAGGACAACAGGGCAGTCCAGACACGGCCCCACAACAACATCGTCGTCTTCATTTCTTCTGCGTCATTTCTGCACACGTGCCTGAGGTACGTTTCTATACCCATGACATTACCCCGGGTGGCAAAGCACCGTCCCGGTGCCTACTGTTATTAGACGGACGAGTCACTGTGATAGGGCTTCAGGCGAGAAAAAAGCACAATGTCACTTCTGTATGTAACAGTGGGCTTTTGTAGTAGGAGAAATTTCATAGGTGACAGGTGTGACTTGGCAGAGAACTTCGTAAGGCCCAACGTATTGCAATAAAAGTTTCTCGCACAGGCTGACAAGACACGATGGCAGCCACAGTAGCACGAGAGAGCCCGGAGAAAAATTGACATCCCTATGTCGGCTGTCGTAGAGCGACTTTTGTGCTCTCTGGGACGATGAGAACCTGGCGCGGGCTATTCTACGTGCGATGTGCGATCAGAGCATGGGAGATGGCATCTTGTGCATACCAAGCGGTGGACGGAAGGTCATGCGCAAGGAGGGTATCGAAAGGTAGTAAGGGATCACGGCCAAAGAGAAGATAAAATGGTGAGTAGCCGGCAGTTTCATGACACGACGAGTTGTAGGCGAAGGTTACGAACGGAAGGGCAGTGTCCCAATCGGTGTGGTCGTCAGAAACATACCTAGCAAGCATGTTCGTCAGTGTGCGGTTGAGGCGTTCAGTAAGTTCCGTTAGTCTGAGGATGGTAAGAAGTCATAAAGGTGTGCCGCATAGCACAGGATCTAAGGAGGTCGTCAACCACACGTGACAGGAAGCAGCGGCCACAGTCCGTGAGTAGGTGAGAAGGAGCGCCATGCTGAAGGATGATGTCATAGAGTAAGAATTCTGCGACGTTCGTTGCACAGCTGGTCGGTAGTGCTCGAGTAATTGCATACCGAGTGGCATGATCCGTAGCTACTGCTATCCATTTGTTTTCCATTGCCGATGTTGGGAAGGGACCTAATAAATCCAAACCCACATGATGAAACGGCTCGGCTGGAACTTCAATAGGTTGATGGTGACCGGCAGAGAAAGACATAGGCTTCTTCCGACGCTGGCACAGGTCACATGCTGCAACGTAGCGACGAACGGAACGATAAAGGCCCTTCCAGAAAACCCATCGGCGGACACGGTCATAGGTTTTGGAGACACCTAAATGTCCGGAAGTTGGGGCGTTGTGAAGTTCTTGCAATATGTCCTTGTGCAGATGACGTGGGACGACGAGCAAAAGTTCCGCGCCATCGGGCTGTAAGTTTCGGCAGGTACAAAATGTTGTCTTGAAAAAAAAAAAAAATGGCTCACTGAAGGTTCTTTATTGCCGGATTAAAGACGGTCAATCATCGATAGCAGCGATGGATCTCGGCGTTGTTCGTAGGCTATTTGCAGAAAATCTGTTATGGCTAGGATGCTGGCATCAGCTTCCAACTCAGAGGAGTCGGGTGGATCAACAGGGTGTCGAGATAAGCAGTTGGCATCACTGTGAAGCTTGCCAGACTTGTACACTACAGAGAACTGTACTCCTGCAATCGCAATGCCCATCGCTCGAGTCTTCCTGTAGGATCCTAGGGGTTGACAGCCAGCAGAGCGCATGGTGGTCTGTGATGACTGCGAACGTGCGCTCATACAGGTACGGACGAAATTTTGCGATAGCCCAGATGAGAGCCAGGAACTCTCGCTCAGTAATTGAATAGTTCCTTTCCGACTGAGAAAGTAGGCGGCTAGCGTACGCTATGACACGGTTTGTGCCGTTCTGCATTTGCGCTAGTATTGCCCCTATGCCATGGCCACTTGCGTCGCGAAGCTCCGTTCGAGCGGCTGGGTCAAAATGAGCCAACACAGGTGGTGATGTGAGCGCAGAAATCAACGACGCAAATGAATGTTCTTGGTCATCACGCCAGGAAAAAGCCACATTCTTTTTGAGGAGATCCGTGAGGGGCCCAGCAATTCAGCCAGTAAAGAAATGCCTAGAAAGTGAGTGACCTTACTCACAGTATCCGATGTCTGCGTGTGGTGCTCGCCAATGTCTGCGATCGTTGCAAGGAAACTGCAGTGGGGCACGCGCGAGCGTGTGCTTATCACAGTGCTTTAGAATGCTTGTTTTAACTTTTTTTAACTTTGTATGCACCATATTTCTTCCACAACCGTGGCAGAAGTGTTTGTCGTGAAAGTAGGAGGCTTAGGAAAATCTTCGCTGTATGTGGATGCAGCTTCCATGGATAGCATAGGAAAATCGTAAGTGCCCTGAAGAGCCCTGAAGTGTGGTTTTTCGTCGACAGCAATTATATGGACAGTCTCAGCTGGTTTTTTGCCATCGCCACTGCCGCCGTAATTCACCGTATATGTATACGCATCTCCATATATGAGAACTCAAAAAAGAAAGAAAAGCTGTCCGCGCTCGACAACCAGCTCGTCGTGATGC